ATATAGATTTCTTTATTTCTAAAACTCTTTCTCAAAACTTTTCTATATATAATTGCTTTTATTAACTTTAACAACCCCAAAGGTTCCTTTTACCCCTTCTGTAGTTAATGATTACAATAGTTGATTTAACTAATAACAGATAACTAAAGGATAATATTACACTAGATGTTGTTAGCATATAGCAACAATAGTATAGCTTAGGAATAATTCTTACTTATATATTTATATCCAATTGATATACTTATGTATTAATAATTTTCCTACTCGATATTATAAAATAAAAAAAATATAAAAAAAAATTGTACTAAATATTGATTTATTTTTTTTTAATGTTAAAATAAGTATTTGCTACTTGGAATTTTATTAATATGTAGTACATTTTAATAAATAGCTGTTTATTATAATAATTAAAAAAGCAACTATATAAAAAATATACAACTAGCAGAAAATAATAATTCTGATATAGTGATTGAATTGTCATCTTTCAAGTAGCAGATCTAAGATTCAAATTCTATTTACAATAAAATTTAAAAATTAAGTATGTTATAATAACTGTCTTGTTAATTAGTTAGATTATAGAAATAATCTGTAATCTTAAAAGTACTATCTTAAATAAAAGCTTAAAATATTTATATAAAGTGTAATATTATATATATATAGAGGAATATAATAATTAATATTACATAAAACTTCAGTATAAACTTATAATAAGACCACTGGGCACATAACAATAAAAAGCTAGAGTATAGAAATCTACTTGGAAATCCTAAGTAAAGAGAAAGTATAAACTTTTAACAATACTAGTAGACTAATAAAAGCTTTAGAAAAAGCAGCTAGAATAAATCAAATAACAATATGTATAAAGAAGCCTATACCAACCAGGCTACTAAGAATTGCCAGAGAAAAAGAATCTTAGAATACTATATTGAGTTATTTGAATTGGTAGTTTGAGAAGTTTTATAGATTCAAAAGAACAGCTAAAATAAATTAAATAATAATATTTATATAAAAAAAAAGTCAGTTATAATTTTATTTTATAAATAAAAACTCTATTAAATTAATATATTTCTGAAATTTTTCTGAAATTTGTGAGTAAGTTCTTGTTATTTCTATAAATTTTCAATAAAAATTTAATAAATATGATACATTTTTAGAAATAATATAAAATAATTACAATTCAATTTTTTTTATAGAGTATATATAGAGAAGCACATACCAACTAGGCTGTCAGAAATTGTTAGAGAAAAAAATTTTAAATTACCATATTAGGTCATCTGAATTGGTAGTTTGAGAAGTTTTATAAGTTTAGAGTAAAAGGCAAACTTGAAAAAAAGAAGTATTGAAGTTCTAGTAAACTTTACAAGAGTAAAAATAGTATAATATAGTAGTTAAATAGCAACTTCTATGATTGCAAATATTAAATAACTATAGTATATTGCATAAAACTAGATCAGTATATATAGAACATAAAGGCTTTAGTAAGTTTTTTGTAATGATAAGCTAGTTTTAAAAGTACTAATAAGGATTATAAACTTGAATAGACAGTGCTCTAAAAATATTCTTATAATACAAGATGGATTGCATATTGTTGGGTTTGGAAGATTGTGACTTGATTGCTCCAAAATTCTAAATCTCATATAACGTATGACAAGTAACCTTTTCGAAAGAGAATGTTAGATTAGGCTTGTGTGTGAGAAAGGCTTTCGGTAACTTTGGGTCAACAAATGCAAGTAGGGTCAATCACATGGTCAAGGGCTTGAACAGTGATTTTTACAGAAGTTTATAGGGTTTGTAACAGTAATAGTGTTAGTTGTTTATTAAGTACAATGTAGGGTATTAGGATTTATTGTTTTAATAAAGCAAACAAAGCATACTAAGCATCCTTCTCTTAAGGGCTATATCGGCCTTTATTTATAATATAAAATTTGTCACTTACAAATGCAACTTATTCCTTAAAACTAATTAAACTAATTACAGTAATTTATTTAATATCTATTATTTCCTCCCTTTATTTCTTATCTACTTGAAATACCTTTTCCGATCTTAAATATAACTTATTACATTTATTGCATTTATGGCACTTATTACATTTATTGCATTTATACATTTTTCATGTGATTGGTCATGATATAAGGTATCACAGTATCATGATTTCTGGTATCGCATTTCCCTTCTGCTTAGGTCATGCATACCATGCATGATCTTTTTTCATGTAATCATGGGTCATCGAAAAGGGCAGGGATACTGATTGATGTTGATCGGGAATAGGTTTGTGATGTCATCTATGGTCTCCTCCAGATCAGACTTTCAAGACAAATATCCACAAAGGGTACACCTCATCTTACATATACAACTGTTATATGCAACCAAGAACAAAGACAAGGGGTCAGTTATGGCATCCTCCTTTAGGATCATATACCAAGGTTTCATTCCACTTCGGTAAGTACAGGATGGATCTTTTCACTTGATTCTTCTTGGCAGATTGGTTTTCGTCTGACTTCACTAACTTTACCTTTTTTTTTTCAGTAGGCCAAGATTTCTGACTCAAGACCTTCCATGATGTATATGTTTTGGGGCCCTTTTTATGTTCTTCACCTTTTTCTCTGGACTGTTCTATGATTTTATTGAAAGCAGGACCAAGTGACAAGTTCAATGGTAGTACAAATTCAATTTCACTCAATTCATTCTTTTTTTTACCAGCAAATTCTCTAACAGAGTCAAATTGTCCAGTCATATTACCATCTTCCACATTTTTCACACTTCTTTCATATGTTTCATCTTCGTAATAATCGCCAGGCTCGACTAGGTAGTGATTTTTTACTATTTTTGTATCATCTTGGATCGACCTTCTAAATTTATTAACCCTTCTATTCCAATCTTCACAGGCTTCATTCAGGTTATCCAACATGGATTGTCGACCATACTTAGCTAATTTTAAGCACTATTCCAAGGTCAGTTGTTTGTCTTCTTCAACACTAATTTCTTTTTCATGACAATAGCCAACAGGAAATACTCTATGATCTTTATTTGAATTGGCAGATTTTTTATAATATTCGAATGCCTTATGTTCACCCTTTTGAACTTCAATCCCTTTATGTCTATTCTTTTCAATTGCAATTCCATTTTCGCAACGATAGCTGACATCAAAGGTTTCTTCAACAAGTTTCATGTCAGAGGCTTTTCAAAGATGTTTGAATGTCTTTCATTCATCTTTTTCTACCCTAATTGC